TACCGAGGAGTGAAATTGCCAAGTCACATGGTAACTCTATGTTTAGTCTTTTGAGGAACCGCCAGATGTTTTCCAAAGTGGCTGCACCATTTTACATTCCCACCAGCAGAATCTGGGGCTTCCAATTTCTCCCCTTCCTCACCAATACTTGTTATTGTCCTTCCTGTTGATTACAGTCATCCTACTTGGCCTTTCTAACGCACCAAGCAGCTGTATGAAAGAAAGGCCCAGTGATCTGCTGGAATAAAGATTACAGCCAAGAAAACCCTCGGAGGCAGTTCTATTCTAACATCTGGGGTCACAATGTGTCTGAATGGACTCCAGGGGACAAAGGTTCGTACTATGCACCAGTGAACTGTGTTGTTGGATGCCGTGAGTCAACACAGTGACTCCGTGTGACGGGGTAGAACTGCTCCATTGGGTTTTCTAGCTTTGGGTTCCAGCAACAACTTCTCAGTTAGAAGCTCTGCAATTAACCATTAGACCACCAGAGCTCATTTCGGTGACCTGTAGGTGCTGGGATATTGAGCGGGGGAAAGCCTGCATGAGAATGGGGAGCAGCCTGGGAAGATTTGAGGGAAAGGTGTCACAGGAACACTGAACAGCATGTGAGTCATGGCTTGGATTGTGTTCCCCAAAAATATGTGTTGTAATTCCTAACCTCTATGTCTACGGTTATATTCTTATTTGAGAATGGGTTTTCTTTGTTATCTTAATGAGGCAGGATTAGTGTAGGGTGTATCTTTGAGATATAAAAGAGATCAAATGCAAGCTAGCAAGCAGAGATGGGGAAGAGAGATGCCAAGCCACATGAAGACTGCCCAGAAGCAGAAACTCAGAAGAACAAGGACCTTCCTCCAGAGCTGACAGAGAGAAGAGCCTTCCCCTTAGGCCGGCACCCTGAATTTGAACTTCTAGCCTCCTAAACTGTGAGAAAATAAACTTTTTTTGTCAAAGCCATCCACTTGTGGTATTTCTGTTATAACAGCAGGCGATAACTAAGACAATGTCCAAAGGCCCTGAGAGGGAAGATGGTTGGCAGGCAGGTGACTGGAAGGTATTTGTCCAGGAGGAGAGATAAGCAGAGTGAATGATCTGGGCCTTAACAGGCAGGGCAAGCGTTCATTTACAACGGGAAGCTGTGGTGAGGATTTAAGGCAGGGAGTTGTTTCATTTTTTCAAATAAAATCATTTAGGCTTTGGCTCCTGGATGGAGAATGGCTTGAAAGAGGCAAGACCGAGGAGACCAGCTAGGAGGGTATGACAGTCGTCTCGGCTCATGATGATGGTGACAACGGAGTGGTGGGCCACACAGGCTGCTGGTGATGTCAGCACAGAGTGCTTTCTGGGGAAGAAGCCAAATAGGGGCATAAGGAGGGGTCAGTGGAGGTTGGCACAGGGTCACAGGAGAAAACCAGGGAAACGGTATAAAAGAAATTGGAGGGTGCTGGGTGCTGGGCTTAGGATATGGTCGAGGGTAAGTATAGGCATCGGGCAGCCTCTGGGGTCGGTCGTCTCAGGCCAGAGAGAGCCACTAGCCAAAAAGGGATATTACCCATCCATTCTACCCCTGAGTCAGAACCTGCTCAACAGCAACAGGTTTGGTTTTGGTTTTTCGTATTCCACTTGTCTTAGTCATCTAGTGCTGCTATGACAGAAATACCACAAGTGACTGGCTTTAACAAAAAGAAATTTATTTTCTTACAGTTTAGGAGGCCAGATGTTCAAATTCAATCTAGTAGGCTACAAGTTCAAATTCAGGGCGTCAGCTCCAGGGAAAGGCTTTCTCTCTCTGTCGGCTCTGGAGGAAGGTCCTTGTGCTGCATCAGTCTTCCCTTGGTCTGGGAGAATCTCTGCACAGGAACCGCAGGTCCAAAGGACGTGCTCTGCTCCTGGGGCTGCTTTCTTGGTGGTATGAGGTTCCCATGTCTCTCTGCTCATTCTGTCTTTTATATCTCAAAAGAGTTCGGCTTAAGACACTATCCAATCTTGTAGACCTCATCAGTATAAGTACCACTAATCTATCTTATTAAATCATAGTGATAGAGTTCACAACACATAAGGAAGTCACATCAGATTACAAAATGGTACACAATCATACAATACTGGGAATCATGACCCAGTCAAGTTACAGATATTCTGGGGAGACACAATTCAATCCATGACACCACCCTTAGGTATGGACCCAAAAGGCTTGAAAGCAAGGACTCAAACAGATATTGTACACCTACGTTCGTTGCAACATTTCAATTAACAAAATATCCAAAAGGTGAAAATAATCCATGTATCCATCAATACATGAATGGATAAACACAATGTTTTCTATTCATACAATGGAATAGTATTCAGCCATAGAGAGAAATGAAGTTCTGATACATGCTACAACATTCATGAACCTTGAAAACATTTTGGTAAGTGAAATAAGTCAGAGGCAAAAGGACAAGTATTCTATGATCCCACTTATATGAAATATCTAGAAACAGGCAAATGCATAGAGACCAAGGTTTTTAGTGGGTACCAAGGACTGTTGTCAAGGATTTCATTTTACTTGGTTCCACAATCAACACCCATGGAAGCAGCAGTCAAGAAATCAAAAGATGCATTGCTTTGGGCAAATCTGCTGCAAAAGACCTCTTGAAAGTGTTGAAAAGCAAAGATGTTCCCTTGAAGACTAAGGCATGCCTGACCCAAGCCATGGCGTTTTCAATCGTCTCATATGTATGCAAAAGCTGGACAATGAATAAAGAAGACGGAAGAAGAATTGACACCTTTAAATTGTGGTGTTGGTGACGAATATTGACTATACCATAGACTGCCAAAAGAACGAACAAGTCTGTCTTGGAAGAAGTACAACAAGAATGCTCCTAGAAGCAAGGATGGCAGGACTACGTCTTACATACTTTGGACATGGTATCAGGAGGGATCAGTCCCTGGAGAAAGACATCATGCTTAGTAAAGTACAGGGTCAGCGAAAAAGAGGAAGACCCTCAATGAGATGGATTGACAGAGTTCCTGCAACAATGGGCTCAAGCATTCCAACAATTGTGAGGATGGCACAGGATGGGGCAGTGTTTTGGTCTGTGATGCATAGGGTTGCTGAGTCGGAACCCACTCGATGGCACCTAACAACAACAAGGACTGCGGGGGAGAGGGAGATGCGGAGTTAGAGCTTAAGAGTACCGAGTTTCTGCTTGGGGATGGGAGATGAAGAATTTTTGGAAATGGAGTGTGGTGATGGTTGCACAACATAGTGAATGTAATTAACGTCGCTGAATTGTGCACTTCAATTGGCAAATTCTTTGTTACTTCTTTTTTTTTTAACCAAAATAAAAATTTAAAAATATATAGACAAAAGCGAAGTTGAGAGGATCTCAGGGGAGTGAAGATGAATTGTGTGGTTCTCTTGGTGGCTCCCAGATTGAATCTCCAAGGTGGAAGGAAGGGAGACAGGGCCAAGAGGGTCTGGGAAGACCATTCCCCTAATCACTCCTAGCAGGAGCTGCTGTGGCAGGGGCTGGAAGAAAGCAGGACCCCTCCAGGTTAGCAGGGCCACCAGGAGACCAAAGTTGGAGTCATTGATCCCCATTTCCTCCTGCTGGGGTCACAGCTGGCCCAAGGGGGATGGTCTTTCTAAGACTCAAGAGTTAATTCCTATGACCCATCAGGGGCTGAAGAAGCTGACAGAGAAGGGAGTAGGAGACTGGCCAAGAATTTCCCCACTCCTTGAGGCTGAGTCCTCCTCAGGCCTGGGGGAAGGGAGGCAGGGAGCCCTCCCCTTGCTGGTGCTTCCCCTCCTCCCTGGGGCATGCCTGTGACCAAGGACCAGGCTCAGGATCAGTCAACGTTTTGTTCTGCTGTAAATAAGGGCTCATGAGTCAGAGGTGACCCGGCCCCAGGTAAACAGCCCGTGCCAGGCACCTGATAAGCAGCACACCGACCTGATAGCCCTGACTCCTCACTGCTAACCCAGGAACACGAGGTCACTAGTGTCCCCATTTGCAGAGAAGAGGTCAGGTGGAGGGTCTCCACTCACAGCCCAGACCCCAGCGCGAGTTCTGATCTGCAGCCCCCTGCCTGTAATGACTGGGCCCAGCTACTGTGCCTGCCCTCTGCCCCATCCTCCTCACCTGTCACAGAAGGTTCTGGCAGCCACTCATTGGCTTCAACCAACTTTTTTTTCTCCTGCTTTAATTATTATTTAATCTTTTTGTTGTTCTTGTTGTAAACATTTCTATCACACAGCTTTTGTCAATTCAGCTTTTACAGGTGTACAACTTATTGACAATACGTACAATAATAGGCTGTGCAATGCTACCCTTAATCAATGTGATCTTTCCATCACCATTAACGCCTCTTTCCCCCGCCTTCCCCACCCATGGTAACCACTAATAAACTTTGGTCTCCATTCATTTCCCTTTCCTGGTCTTTTTATGTAAGTGAAGTCCTGCAACATTTGTCCTTTTGTGATTGGCTTATTTCACTCAGCATAATGTCTTCCAGCTCCATCCATACTGTAGCATGTATCAAGACTTCATTTCTCCTACTGGCTGAGTAGTATTCCGTTGTATGTATGGACCACATTTTGTTTATCCATTCATCTGTTGAGGGGCATTTAAGCTGTTTCTACCTTCCGGCTATTGTGAATAGTGCTGCAATGAACATTGGTGTTCAAGTCTCTGTTGGAGTCTCTGCTTTCAAGTCTTTTGGGTAGATACCTAGGAGTGGAATTGCTGGGTCATATGGTAGTCCTATTTTTAGTTTTTTGAAGAACTGCCACGCAGTTTTCCACAATAACTGTACCATTTTGCATTCCCACCAGCAATGGATAAGGGTTCCAATTTCCCCACTTCCTCACCAATATTTGTTATTTTCTGGGTTTTTTTGTTGTTGTTGTTATTGTTGTTGTTTTTAATCTTAGCCATCCTCGTGGGAGTGAGATGGTATCTCATTGTGCTTTTGATTGCATCTCTCTGGTGGCTGATGATGCTGAGCATCTTTTCAAGTGTTTGGTGGCCATTTGAATGTCCTCTTTGGTGTAATGTCTATTCAAGTCCTTTGACCATTTTATGATTGGGTTATTGTGTTTTGTTGTTAAGTTGTTGAAATTTGGTTATTAGATTCGTGTCAGATACATGGTTTTCAAAGATATTCTCCTGGTCGGAAGCTTGTCTGTTAATTTTTTGGTAAAATCTTTTGATGAACAAAAGTTTTGTTATTTTTATGAGGTCCCATTTATGTATTCTGTCTTTTGCTGTTTGTGCTATTATTATATTAGATAATCCATTCATTGTTCAACCAACTTTTACTAAGACCTGCTGTGAGCTGGGTACTGGGACCAGAGCGACCAGTGAGACCTGGGGAAGGAAAGCCAGGCAGTAAGGAGGGCTTTGCGGGTGGGGAGTAAGGGCAGCACAGGGAGGGACTTAGCAGGGATGTCCAGGGTGGGTCAGCGAGGGTTAGCAGGGGGGCAAAGGCCAGCACTGTGGGAATCAGAGGCTTCGACCTGTGGCCACAGGCTCCTGGCTGGCCCTAGATGCCCAGGGCCAGGGGAGCTGCAGACAGTCTTCACATTGCTGCTAATACCTTCAGTTCTATGGGCAGCACCTTCAACAGAATGGCCAGCAAGTACTGCAACCAATTTGGCAGTGGCTGTAGCACCTCCTGGATTGTTTTCTGCAAAATAGTTACAATGACCTCCCTGAGATCCTGGATCCACGAACTCTTGCGGATCCAGAGGGGCCAGTAGGCTTCTTGCAACTGGAACCTGACTTTGGCTGAGTTTCACGTAACTTCTGCTGCTTTTCACGGAACTCCCGCTGCATTTCATGTAACTCCTGCCAAATTTCATGCAACTCCTGCCAAATTTCACTTTGAAGTAACTCCTGCCGCATTTCACTTTCTCGTAACTCTTGCCGCCTTTCACTGACACGTAAGTCCTGCCGCATTTCACCTGACTCCTGCTGCATTTTACCTAACTGCTGCCGAATTTCAGGTAGCTCCTGCAGCATTTTACCTAACTCCTGCCACATTGCATGTGACTCCTTCCGCATTTCAGGTAACTCCTGCTGCATTTCACCTGACTCCTTCTGGATTGCACCTAACTGCTGCCGCATTTCACCTGACTCCTTCTGGATTGCACCCAACTGCTGCCGCAT